TCATATACCAGCAAGCGAACATCATACATTTTTAGAGATGCCTACTGAGTATGTGCTAAGTGAGAGTAACTGAAATGTTGGAATTTCACACAAATATGTCTTTTCTCAGAGTTACTTGGATATAGACCAGCGGATGTTGCTGAGAGTTGTCATCGGTGAAGATGATATTAGAAAGTTAACGATGTGTAAGACACCAGATTGCTGCAGTATCATTTTAAACCACAGTACGAAGATAAAGACTTCAATAATGCCCTCTGCAGTTTGACTGAAATAGTTGATTTGCCTTAAAGAGGCAAATCAATTATGGTGAAAGAGCAACACTAAAAAAAACCCATCCCTCTCATAACTCTTCATCTAACAACTCTTTCATAACCCAACACATGATCAGTCATGCACAGCAAACACTGAAATCGTGTCAACTGTTGGGACATTACGACTGCTAAGCCATCAGTGGCCGGAGTTCTTTAATATACCCAATTTCTCAGTAGATGTTGAGTACAGACTTGGAAGGGGAAATCTTGCCTTCATGCAAGATGGGACACAAATGACACGAGACGTTAAGCATGACGTATTTGAAAAAGCTTCATGTACACTTTCAAGGCATAGCAAAAAGATGATGACTTCACCAGAGTTGCAAAAGCACTGATTAGCAAGCACCCTGACTGACTGACTAATGAGGGAATGGTTGAGAACCTTAAAGAGCATTCACTGATTGCTCAGCAGATCGTTATTGACCATGTAAACCATGTTGGAGGTTTGCGCAATGTAGTCTACACAAAAGAGCTACTGCGCTCTGCAGCTGCAGCCAGGCAGTATCCCATGTATCTTGAGGACCAATGATTTCTAAAGTAACATGAACAGAAAGCAAAGCAGACCAAAGGACTGACGGAGGAGATAACAGAGATAAAAGCCAAAAAGAAGATTCTGGAGAAGGATGTGTGGGTTCTCCTAAAGCCTGCTGATCAGAATGCAGAAAAAGCTGAGTCAGAAGGAAAATTGTGCTTTATCTCAAAGTCCAATGGGCTTCAAAGAGCTGCAAAAGAAAAGGAAAAAAGTCTAGAGGTTCTGGAGAAACAGTCAACTGACAAACTCAAGGAACTGAAAGACACTCCTTCATAGGCCCTGTCCTATTTGGCCTTATTATTTTGATGGATTTGGTGCATTTTTCTTGTTTTGTGGGTTATTTTTCTCAACAGATCTGACAGGTTGATTCATTCATTTGCACATCTAGATTTGTTGGTGAAATGTGCTTCTATGCCTTTTCTCAGTTTATGCACTATATGCACCATATGCATATAATGCATTATTTTGCTTTTGTAGTATTTTGTGTGGTACTTTTTTCTGTTTTAGCAAAAAAAAAGGGGGGTACATTTAAGTCAGTCTAAGATGATTTTGCACATGGTCTTACTGAGGTAATGTGAAGCAAATATGCATTTATATATGATGCAGTTTTACCCCTACCAGAGTTCCCCCATCTGTTTTTGCACTGTTTTGAGTTGTTATTGCATTTTTTTTTATATATACTTTAATTCAATGCCTACCAAAAAGACAAATTCTATTATATTTCTCATTTTTATTGGTAAGTTATTTGCCAAATGACATTTAGCATAATACTGTCTTTTTTGTGCGATTAAAAAAAAAGTGAAATTATTGTGCGTATGTATGTTTTTGTATCAATATGTAATTTATGACAGTGGCAATGTGCTGGAAAAGCTTGAACATGGACCTTGAAAGTGCTTAAAGAGAAAAAAAAATATTGTCACAGTTTTTGGTTATGTATGAAGTGTTGTGTGCACTAACTGCCTTATAAGAAGTTTGGTCAAGCAAATGTATTTATATTCCAAAGTATGAAAAGTATACTAATAATGGCAATGTTTCATTTTAACGTATAGTATGTTGACATGAAAGAAAGCAAATGCTCTCAAATTATGGAAACGGCCAATGGGATGTGTTTTGTTTGACACGTGATGCACATGTATATATTTGGTGGCTGTCATTAAAACTGCTCTCTCTTGGGGCGTGTTCATCATCCAAAATGGCCAAAGGCTGATGTCTGTTTATTCGTCCCTACTTATCGTTGGTGCAGTCTATTATTCATGTCAGACTTCTCTGTGGATTTCATTTTCTGCTAACATAGTAACTGCAACCTTTTGTTCATTGTACTCCTGTATTGTCAGACAAAGTGAGTGTTTAAAACACATAGCCTCAAGCTATTTCCCTGCAATCTCACACACTTTATAACCTAAACAAAGCTAAACACAGGTCCAAGGTTTTGTAACCAAATAAAGGGTCTGGGGGAGTTACATTTGTTACAGTTCTAAACTGCACCCTCTGATGAAGTTTAGTCTCAAGAAAAGTTGGATATTGTTGAAAAAAAATACAACTCTCCATTTAAAATCTCTAATGCTGTGATGATCAATGGTATCGCTATAGATGATAAGAAAGTGGGAGAAAATTACAGATTTTCTTAAAAGGTTTTGCTCCATTAATAGGATCATATTAGTAGACGAGCAAACCTCTAAACTCCATAGACAGGCAGTTGATATAGTAGTACCCATTCCAACCTCCCTAAACTTAAAAACCTAGCTAAGGTAATTGGCAGGAATTATGTTCTCAAGGACATGATGGCCCAAATCAGTGAGTCATTCACAAATCTTTTGCCTTCCACAGCCGAGTTACTACCCGAGTTAACTGAGACCCA